ATATGAGCTAATAAACGTAGAAGAGAGGTGAAAGATATCAAAGGAACATTAAAACGCATAAATTGAAAACAAACTGACAACGCCATGGCAGTAAAGGAAAAGAAAAGACCAAAAACAAACAAAAGACAAACTGAACAACATGAATCCTCAAAAACAGGGGATGATATCAGGTACTCTTGAGGAGTAACCTGTTGTGATGCTCATGCTAGTTCAAACCCAATGATATGTATTATTCGGTAGCCATGTCAATAAGGGCTATATTTGCCCAAATTATTTGTTTATACAAATTTTTTTTCTTCAAATTTTAGATATACATAACTATTCTGCATTTTGTTTTTATATATTATGTAATTGATTTAAGTATTGGACGAAACTGAGTGTTCAGGAATAATAATGATGCTCTTTTGGTATTAACGGTCGATAAGCTTTGTTGCCTACAAGGACATCTGAAAACGACTGATAACTAATACTTTGTTTCTTGGTGCCTTTGTCGAACTAAATCTTGGTCTTTTGTTCTGATGTTTACAAATAAAGACACTATCGTAAAAGTAATGGCTAAGGTAACAAAATGTGTGGTCAGTTCACTATAATTCATTAAATGTAGTAGTATTTTACAAGTCGGGCTCTAAATATGGTTGAATATCAAGCAATAATTGCACATTTAAATGAATGTCTAAAGAATTAGAGAGAATTGCTATTGATAGTTTCTAAATATTAGCTGTCTATGTTGTAACACTGGATGCCGAACATGAGATTTAAAATGCTGGTGACTTATCATACATACAATCAATAAATGCTTACTCTGTCACGAGCAGTATGTTTTTGCCTTATATCTTTAAATACCAGAATATTCCTGTGATCTATATATGGAGTTTAGTATGACGTCCATTATCACTGAACTAGTATACATATTTGTTTAGGGGCCAGCTGAAGGACGCCTTCGGGCGCGGGAATTCTCGCTGCATTGAAGACCCATTGGTGGCCTTCGGCTGTAGTCTGCTCTATGGTCGGGTTGTTGTCTCTTTGACACATTCCCCATTTCCATTCTCAATTGTATTCCTCGATAATGTACTTTTCCTGATTGTGACATTTTTACTGATGGTTGATTCGCAGGGTTGTTGCTGGAGACCCTGTAACTGCTGACGTACCCGTTCTCACATATTTTCTAGTTCAAGCGATTCCCTCATTTTTATGACCGTGATTTCTTAATCGAATTGTGACATTCGAACATTGGTAACTACTATTGCCTTAAATTGTCTATCGCAGTTGCAGATTTTTTTCTGATGAGTTACGTCTAAGAATAGAATAAAATCACCACAATCGCAACAGCGAAAAAAATAATCAAACATAAAAGTTTCCTTGAACATCACCATCGTGCTTATTTCCTTTGAGTAAAGGTCCTAGGATATAAATCCTAGTTTAAAATCTCCACCCAAATGTATGCAGTATTTTAGAGGTCTCACGGAGTGAATATTTTTTTTAATTTTGGACTGAAAGGTGAACTTTATTTTAAAACATCAAATTCCGTTGGATTTATTTTGTTAGTTGTCAATTGAACGATAAAAAATAAAATGAAAGTTTCATATTATTATAATTCTTCTATATGCCATAAAAAGAACCAGTTATTTATAGTTTCAAGAATCATAATAAGTTAATCATGAGAAAAATTATTGTATAGATTGTATGGGACAGCTGAGCTATTACCATGACTGTTAGTTACGATCCCACTTGTGAGTTACAATTGCAGCCGTTGCATAAATGTTATCCTTTTGAATGAATTTTCTGAAAAAAAAAAATAATAAATGTGTTTACCCCTTCCACGCTTTAAAAAAAATTGTCTTTTCTTTATCTGAAAATGATATAATGTAATACTAGAGGCAATTATGCCAATATTCATCTCATAGATTAGATTCAAGATATGTTAGATGATATCAGATGATCCAATCATTTAAAAAATTTAAAATGAAGTTTGTTCAGCTAACGAATATCACTAGAACAAATCATACCAAACCTCGTATATTCCATAAAACATTTTGATATTAACTTTAAAAAATTCTGTATATTGTTCTGTTAAATCTATTGCTACATCGTTGATTTTGATAAGTATGTGAACACTACAGACACATGTACTTGGTAAAATCATGGCTACATATTAATTTAAGGCAACAGTAGCTAAATGATGCCCACATCTCACAAACCGACCAATTTACCAACCAAGGAGCAAAGCAAAAATGTAGATAACCACATGCACTCCAAAAGAGCTCCAAAAGATGCACAACCATGTATGTTGACAAAATAATCGTTTCCGGCAATTCATGCATCACCCGATATGTGAATCAACATGCAGTCAAAATATCACATTCGGTAATAGGACATATTCGACAGAATTAAAGAAGATACAAACAACTTTAAGTTTCTTAATTGTTGTCTTGTCTCTTTGCTATTCAAGATATTTCCACTGAGAAAATATGGATTGAAACCTATATCAAATCATGATTCGTTTGTGAAAAATGATACAAACAATTACTGAATTGTGACTTTTTTAAAAATTTATAGTCAATAGACTTAATGCCCTTTCGCTTAAAGGTGTTCACTCCTTTGCTTGCTTCATTTAAAAAATACTGGAATATTGTTTTCACTGTGTATCCTTTTGATTTGGTTTATCATTTTGATTAGTTTAAGCATTCAAATGATCATTTCGGAACATAAAGGCTATGAATAAATCTGAGCACTCAAATTTGTTATACTATACAGTATGAGCAATAGGCAGTAGATTTATATATTAAAACAAATAAATATTTATATTTTCCATTGTTTATGTTTTTCAATTTAAACTTAGATTTGACTGTTGCTATGGAAACAATGGAAAGACAACACCCAGCACGCGAACATGAATACCACTCATATATGCTACCATATACCAAAATATCAAAATATTTTGCGCTTTTCATATGGTACAGTAATTATATATAAGGAAAGAGTTCAATGGATACCTACAATGCCTTCTAATTCTGTTACTGTAATCATATAATGTTTTCTTAATAGTATTTTTCAGCAGGAAATGCCTGTTTTCCGGAGTACCGTTGGCTTTTATTTGTAGACAAAAATTCATTCACTTTAGTCTTTTTTTTTAATCATTAAAAGTGAGTCACACAGCTTAGTTATAATTGACCACAAGTTAATTGTCCCAACAGTAATGAATGTATTCCAAACTTTTCTAAAATTGTCCGTTTTATGAATTTATAAATTATAAAAAAAATAGGGTTTCAACTCCATAAGAGAGAGTTGACATATACAACCTTGATTTTCAAATTTGAAAGACTGAACATTACTTAATAATTTATGCTTCAGTCTTTAGAAGCTGTTCATATCAAAATGACTGTTTCAATATATTAAATTGACAGGACCTGCAACAAAACATTATCACAGTCCCAGCCGATTAATTTCAAAACTCAATTTGTTAAGTATGTGATAACTCCATTGTGAGGTATCTGTGATGACGCCTTCGCCTGTTCTGTTCACTGAAGATTATCTTATCTCATGATTGTTATCGAATGACTGATATACCTATCAATGTTAATAAACACGAACAACTCTCGTTTAGTTGTGGATCATATGAATGACAACACCTGTTTTCAATGAACTATTGAAGGCGGCGACAGATGAAAAGATTTAAAAAATCGGACCATATTTAACAGAATGACATAGGAATATTTACTGCAATGGCGCATATACAAAATTTCAATCCTGGTATCTTTGATCAGTATATTGGAAAGAAGGAAGATAATTTTTCATCGGAACTTGGAAATCGAGAAATCGAGAAATCTCCGGTAATGAAAATTACATTTACCTGAAGAAGGGTGTTTGCAGAAAATAATAGGATCTGCATGTAGTGTGCAGAATGGCGAAGGATAACTCAAATTTTAAGTTAAAGATTGTACTTTTGGATCGAGTGTACAATAATATTTATGGTTGTCTCTCTCGCTTCTTTATATAGAAAAATGTAATTAAACGTATTTATCAACTATGTTTAAAAAAAACTAAAATAGAATAATAGTTACACGCATGTGGTAACCTCTACATAGCACTATTAGGTTAGGAGACAGATAACATGTATCAATTCAAAAGTTGGAAAATACCTTCAACCTAATTCGAGATTACTCTGACGTCTGATTTTATTTTATAAATGGTTTAATTTTAAATATTTCTGAGGAAATTTAAAGAACGATCATCTTGATAGGTCCTTAGTAGTATAAGTAAAGGCAACAGTAGTATACCGCTGTTTAAAAGATTAAATCGATTGAGAGAAAACAAATCCGAGTAACAAACTATCTCGAGGGGAACATAATGTTATTCTTAAAATCTATCATGGGAACCAAATTTGTTGTGACACTGTGTAAAAGCTTAACAGTTTTGAGACATCTTACAACGCATGTTAAGCAAGTATGTTTTTTGATGCGCTATTTCATTATGCCAAAATATGATATATTTTCCAGACCAAAGCCCTCTTACACTCTAGCATACTTATATGAATGTTTAGTCATTTATAAAAATATTTCTTTTAAAATTGTTTTTAACTAAAACTGAAATGTGCATGGCTTACAAGTATTTTTAATCTTGATTTTTTTTAGAAAGCAATCGCAGGATTTTCTTTTCTTTTTTTTAATAGTTTTAAAGCAGCAAAGCCAATACAAACTTATATTTCTCATTTGGTGACATGGTCGTTATATGTCAATTCCTATACAACTAAGTACACATCCGTTTTGTTTGTTTGATAAGTTTCGTTTTTACGGACTTTGACGAGATTTAAAATAAATTGATTGAATTCATGCATCGATATGACATCGAGATATAAACAGATGTTAAACGATTTTGCGGCATCAAACTATAAATATTTAAATTCGGCTTGTTGGAGTTCCTGGCAATATATTACTTTCATGGTACAACCAATATGTTTACTGTCAACTAATCTTGATTGTTCTAAATTATTCATATTACAGGTGCTTTGAGATGGCAGGTAGAAGACAAACTGACACACTATGGACAAACTTTAGTGTTGATGTGCAAAGTTCCAAATTGTTGTTTTGAAGCTGCAGGATGGTATTTATGGAATCCTGATAAACGTACAATATTTAAAGATGTCAAAACTACTAATATATCAACACCACCTAAGTATTTGGGAGGCGTTCGAACAGATGGTTTTACGCTCTTCATAACGAATTTGACGCAAACAGACATTCACGTTAATTACTCCTGTGATTATGGATCACTGTTTGGAGACAGTATTTTATTACACAAAGATAATGTTTTCAAAAGTAGGTAATAATGTTATGTTTTTTTCTCTTCTTAAAAATGATAGCAACCCTCCATTTTTCATCTGCATACTTACCCATAATGTTGAAATGTAGATATTTTACAATATTTACAAGATGGTAGGTCAAAAACTTTATTAAATAAACTTGTGATTTCTATTTGTGAGCACAAAAGTGGTTTACACAAATTTAGTAAAAGGATAAGTCTAAGCAATTTATGAAATGTATAGACAAAATTTTCGATCACATTTTGCAAACTGATTAACTTATTCCTTTTTTGTCACCCTTTTTTTTATTTATATGTGTGAAAGTGTAAATTGAAAAAAAATGTAAAATGGTTCACAGGTTCCAAGTGACGATGTGACATCTTTATATCTTTAGTCAGGTCAGAGTCCATTACAGAGAAAATAACAATTGAAAAGTAATTTAACACTGCAAGAAACCTGTACTTTGCAAATTCTTACAAATCTGTGAAATTATAACACACTTTAATTCTACTCGCATTTTTGGTAACATCGTACATCTCTTTATCACATAGTAATCCTTAAATATGTGTATTACTTTAATACGACCAATATCTGTTTGTTCTTTTTTCCAGATGACCAATCTAAACTTGAATTTAGTACCACGTTAATGTAAGTAACTTATGTTAACCGATAACAAAATTTGAGAGCAGACACTTATGATAAAAAAATGAACTTCAATTTGATATCTTGGCACTAGTACATGAATTACATGAAATATTTCAAACAGGATGCGCTAACCATTCTGAAACACGTACAATCACTCTCGATTTTCGGTAAGGTTTTATATTAATGTTTCCAAGTTCTGCATTGTGCAATACATGCTTGTCTGTTTGTCTTCTTAAAATTTTGCCATGATGTCAATTTTTCTTCAACTTATCTATTTGAATTTATCCTTTTGGTGTCATCCCCCTCTCTAATATACGTTAATTGGATCAATTCGACCGAATACGTCAAACACGTAGAATGAAAACAAGATATTTTACTCTTAATATTTTGGCACAAACAATAAAGTTTAATACATAGTTTTAATGTATTACAATGAATAGTTCTATACGCTTTGCCAATTTGAAGCTTTCTTTTTATTTACTAACAATTTGACAATTCAATGTGGCTCTCCCGAATAAGGATACCGGGTAGATTTTTTTATATACCCATATATTTTAAATCTTTTAATGCTGAATCCATAAATGCAAAGACAAAAGGGGGTCACCAGGCTCTTTTTTTTTTCCTGAAATGGAAGCGACATGTGCGATTTTGACCAAACATTTCCATCCTTCCAACAATAACGGCTACATCAAAGTCAATGACTTTTAGATCCAAGTCAGTATGATTAATATGTGAAAAAAAACATTAAAATTTGAAATGTAAGCGCTTACCCTCGTTGTATTAGATTTAAATTTCCGTTTGATTTCAGATTTATGTCTAAATTTTGCATTTTCTTATTTCAGCTGAACATGTTGAAGACTAAAAATAATGGTTAAATCTATTTTTTGTAACATTTTCCCTGTGGATTTTAAAAAAAAACTAATATGATAAAGCTATGACCTTTTGTAGCATTTTAAGGTAAAATAGAATGAGGGTCACAAGGCTTTTGAAAACGATTCGGACTTTTGTTTAACCCCTCCAACCAATGAGGTGTGATTTCAATGCACTCTATTAATTACTGCGACTTCTTTATTGATCGCTTTAAGAAAAATTATGTTTGCAATTATATCAATGGACGATATCTGAATATAAATGTGTGTAAAAGAGGAACGAAAGATCCAAGAGGGACAGTCAAACTCATAGATCGAAAACAAACTGACAACGCCATGGCCAAAAATAAAACAGACAAACAGACAAATAATAGTACAGATGACACAGCATAGAAAACTAAAGACTAACATATAATTTCAAGTCCGCTTTTCAAGTTAACTAGATTGAGGTCCTAGGACTGGTCAGAGCAGTCCTAAATCCTGTCATAGGTTGACTTTGACCAGTCACAATTACTGCTTAGCAAGTAGACTTGCTGTACAAGTTAGGACTGCGCCCATCTGTAAGGTTTTCTTTAGTCCAATGATCAGAGTATACCTGTTTATGTTGTTATATTTATCATCCAATATTAGTTGACTGATTGTTTATTAGTTTTCTTGTTTGTCAGTTTGACTGCTTTTTACCATATTTTAACCATTCTTTATATGCTTCCAAGAAGAAATAAGGAATAAACTGTTTTGGTAACTAATGGAGTGTTGTTAACCAGATTCACGTGAAATTCAGAAGAGTTGGTCCGTACTGGTTCAAGTAAAATGATGGATTACTTTTTTTCAATTTTTCTGCTTACCTTCCACTGATCTTTTCACCTACGTAATCTAAAAAACAAATTATCAATATATTTTATTCACAAAACTCATTCAGATTTTTGAATTAAGATTTTTTTTCAGTTTTCTTTTCAGTTTTGTTTCTATAATCAAATTCAAACATTGAAATTTATTACGTCCTTACTAAAAACTTTTCACCTTGCATTTAACGAAACCAGTGTCAAATTGTTTAATAGTATCTTGAATGTGTTTCAACTTACCTAAACGGAAAGCTTTCGTTTTAGTACAATTTAAGAAAAGTCCTGATAAAGAACGATATTCTTAAATTGAATTTAGTGATTTTGTGATTTTTATAAGCATGGGTGCTTTTATTCTTTTAATAGATATTGTAGTTGTAACAGTTCCGGTCGTTTACAATGTTCGATTTTACTTTAAGTTGCATTGGCTTTAACAATAAAAGCAACATTTTTTTTTTAATTCATGCGTCCGAAGCGCGTTTCTGGATTTAATGCTTCAGGAACGTTTAACACTGATATTTGAAAGCCAATGATATATAGGAAAAGAAACACTGGAAAAGCTGTATAACTAAACCAGACACAAAATAATAGTCTTATTCCGAAGGCCAACATTGACATAAGGAGTGGAAACCTTACTTTCTAAATAATCTATACATTTATACATGTTATAAACGGACCAGTTTAATAAGGTCTGTTGTGTATCACATCAGTACTAAATGATCTAACTTTTTTTATATTTTCTTCTTATATAAGTTGTAAAAACCTCTTATTATCTTTTCAGTGTTACGATAGGTGTTGTCGGCTCGATCCTGTTCATAGTTCTGATAGCAGTTGTTATTATTATTATCCGTAGAAAGCAAACACGTGTGGAAGAGGTAGAACTTTCTAAACTAGGTAAATAAATTTGGTAATTGAGATTTATTGATTTAATTTTGATAAATTGAACAGTATAAAAAATAATGGCTGTAACAAGGCTCGGAAATCAACAATTCAAAATATTACACAAAAGTACTAATCAAAATACATTTCAACTTTAGATTTTGTGATTTGATATGACTGTTTACGAAAATTTGATAGAAAAGCAGCTAACAAATATCTTAATGACAACTGACATTATTCTGATTGTGCTTCTCGAACGTAATAAGACGTCATCTGATCCCTACTCTTTTCTCAAATGTATATATTTTTATGTTTACAGTTTCTAGAATATATAATGCCCTCAAGTTATAGCATCCGCCTCTTTTATTGTTTATACGATGAGCATGATGAGGGTTTAAATCTCTATGCGAATGTTTTAACCACTTAAATTTTTTACGGTAAAAAAAATGTTTGATTAGTTACTAATGACTGAAATATATGTTTTAACTCATATTTGTCGAAGATTTTATATATTAATACGCCCCTCGTCTCCCTGACCTCTGATATCAAAGAGTGTTCAAGAGAACAATATCTGAATGCTTAAGTAAACATTGGTGTCATGGGTTTCAATTTTCTGTCTGTGTCTTAGGTTTTCTGTACCGAGACCTAATGTATATCTATTACTTTAACTAGGTGTCATGGTCCCTCATTCTTATTCCGTGTCTGCAATTCTTTACCGAGACTTGGGTCCATCCCCTCCTTCCCCAAGCATCTTTGGTCGACCACCCTTTTGGACAGGCAATCTCTTTTTCCAAGGGCCACGCTCAAATTACATACGCTCATGAAGATCTAAGACCCTTATTTAAGATGGAGAAGGTGACTTAGTTACCAACTCCTCCCTCAGTATCCTAATCGGAAAAGAAGTCTATAACGTCTTGAGAAACATTGAATTCCCAACATAACCATTACTACTGCTCTTTCAAAGATGACACTTTCTAATTCTATACTTTTTGGATGAATTGAAATCACAATTCTATGCACTTTCTCTCACTCAGTTCCACCTCCTCTGATCATTTAATCTAGAATATCACATTTCATTAGTTCCATTGGTATCAGGCAAATAAACTAAAGTCCATGATCTGCATGACGGCTGATGTCAAACTGAAATACTGTATCTACATGTATGTAAAGATCTCCATTTCAACATGCTGAAGGACTCTTAAATGTTTTTAAGTCATATATCTTACCTGCTATGTTGAGACATATCACACGGAAGGATAAAAACTTCTCGTAGGTGACCGAACAAAATGTCCACCTTTACCATGTGCATGTCGTTTGATTAAAAAATAATGTGTGTTGCCCCGTTTGTCTATGTTAAATCTGGTAAACAGGACATGCAACTCCTTTATCTCTTTTAAAGATGACTTTTTATGTACCATGTTTCCCTATCTGTTCCCGTGTAACTATTATTTGTGTGTGTGTCTGTCCTGTATATTCTCCCATTTATTTGTATTGTAGTCCTGTCATGTAATCTTGTCATTTTAATGTTATACTTAACATTGTCATAAAAGCGAGAGGTTTGGCTAGCCACAAAACCAGGTTCAACCCACCATTTTTTCTTAAAATGTCCTGTACCAAGTCAGGAAAATGGCCATTGTTATATCATAGTTTCTGTGTGTGTTGCATTTTAGTGTTTAGTTTCTGTTGTTTAGTCTTTCTCCTCTTATATTTGATGTGTTTTCCTCAGATTTAGTTTGTAACCCGGATTTGTTTTTTTTTTCTCAATCGATTTATGAATTTCGAATAGCGGTATACTACTGTTGCCTTTATTAACCATTTATAATTGTTAAGAATAAACCATAGAACAAAGAATATTGCTTTTTACATCATTTACGAGACTGATATCATACAGATATAAAATTTAGAAAATAAAACGGAGACTCATTTTCATGTACATGATGTACTCTGGATTAATCAATTTCGTGGAAACCAAATTTATGGATTGAAGATAATTTTGATACTTGATTTCACTGCTTCATCCAAATTTGCATCCAAGCATATAGAGATATTTTTATTTCGTTAAAAATTTTAAATTCGTTTTTCGTATAAACTAATAAAATCAACATATATTGCATGTATGGGGCATGTATTGGTACCCAGCGAAAAATAATGAAATCAAGAATCATGTGTTTCATAATATATGATTTGTTCTGTTGTAAAATATTCCCTCCAGAACAAGCGTATTAAGTTCACGCATTCTAACAAAATACAAAACAACGTAAATTGGTACAATTGATATGCTAGGCGTAGGATAGCAAGTCTTGCTGCAAAATCTTATCTTCTGGACAATACTATAAAGATTACGCATGCTGACTAAATACTACACAGTATTTTTGTGATAACTTTTTTGACATATTACCGCATCAAAAGAATTTCAAATGGACCTTGAAATCAAATAATCTTCAAATCTTCATCTAGAAGGAAAGAAATGCGTGTTTACAAGAAGGTAACTCGAACAATCAAGTATACTGGGTTGCATTATGAACGTAAAGATAACACTAGTTTTCACATCAATGTCAACTGCATTTACATTGAATCGGTAATTAGTTCTGAAATTTGTATCATATATGCAAGATTACAACCGGTATAGCTTGCTTCAATTAGGTCACAACTACATCAATGTTTGTTTACAATGTATATTTTCTATTATGGATTTCAGGGAAGGAAGAAGGCATTGGCAGAAAAAAGTGCACGATATATAACGACTATTGTTCGAAGATTGAAGTTTCATTCAAATCTTCCCGACAACAAAAGCAAACAGATACAAGTTTAGTGAATACCAAAAACTTTAAACTTTATCAAAAACGTACAGTTAAGATAATGCAAAATGCAGAAATTGAAAGTGGCAAAAGCTATACAGCTCTACTGGAGAAAGAGTTCATAGATTGCAATGTCCACGTAAAGTACACGTATTACTATCTAGGTATGGTGCCATCGCTATGGTACTCACACACAGAGTTACAACATAATGGAACACATGAAATGGTCTTTACGGTCAATGGCGTCCTAGATTATAAGAGCGGAACGGGAGATGATGCAAAAACACTGAGTTAAGCTTGCATAACGTACAAGAACTAAAACGTGTATTATATTTCAATATTGTTTCCTTAAAACAACTACAACAAAGATAAAACAGTGTTCGTTCAATACTTCCCATCATTATTTTTTTCCAATTTCAAATACGCATAGTGCTTCTCAAAATGCAACAGAAAACCTTTTAAGCTTTGAAGTCGTGATATTTTTATTTAAACAAGCTATGCTCTCTCATTAATCCGAACTACGGCGATTTTTTTTTTCATTTGAAATATATATGATTCAATACTGAAACATAATCGAATCGTTCAAACTACAATTTAGTAACAGTGTTTGTTATCTAGATAAATGTTTATCTCGCGAAGAGATTTTAAAAAACAAAAATGACAATGCCCTTTTTCAAGAGATGAAATTCATATTTGAAGTGTTGTAGCTTATGATGTCGTTTTTTCATGGTAAAAACATAAGTACGAATTAGTATCTACAGTTTTTTCATTAATGAAGACGTTTTAGATATTTATAAATTATAAACTTGTTAAAAGAAAAACCACTAAATGAGCAAACAATTCAAAATATAAACGCCGGAACCTTATCAATAATGTATTAAATATTTATTTATTTTGTTAATATTGATAAACACAATTGTATTTTTCCAACACATTTCTATCATACGAATGTCATATCGAGACACCGCGCGAATTGGTAATTGGCACTACTAACACAGCTATAGAAAAATACTTATCGTCGGCTGTTAGTAGCCAATGCTTTTATATCATAAAACAAATACGATAATTAATTTTATATATGCATCCGTCCTTACAAATAATAACAAATGATCACACTATTAATAGCTAGAAAACAAAAGTAATATGTCGTGACAAAAAAAAAAAGTTTAATTTTGGACGGTTGAGAAACGTATATCTTGAATTTGTCGATCAATAAAGTGATATAATTGTTAACGAGATACATTCCTTCGTTGACGTTTTCATGCTAAAATATATATTACACTCATATGTGAAAATAGATAGGTCACATTATAAGCTATAAGAAATAAGACTAAGTTGAAAATTCGATGATATATTGTATAATTCCTAACCTAAATTCAATCAATATGTTCAACAAAATCTGAATCAGTGTTTTTTTATACATAATAAGTTTATCTCATTGACAATAACATAGATAACAGAGATAAAACCAAGGAATCTTACTTGTCTGCAAGTGAAATTTGTGGACAGTTTTCAGTTATCTTGAATGGATGTGTCTGCATATGTACTTAAAGACTAAACATGACTTACTTTTTTTTGCCAAGTGTTCAATTTAAAAAAAAATGCATCATCAATTTGATGGTGAAAGCTTGAAGGAACATTAACATGTATACCGTTTACAACATTCCTGATTCCTGAAATAAAAATTTTGAAATTATGAAAATGCTAGCTCAGCACAAAATTGGGTTTTTATGATAACAAGTTATTTGTTTTAATTCATTGCTTGACCGAAATCATTGTGTTTTCTGTTTGACTATTACAGTAATACATGAGATGAATTGTGAAATAAACTTTTGTATACACTAATACTTTATTGTAAATGTTTTTCAATGTTTGAAATATGCGTTTTGTTGTTTATACTTTTCACTAATGCAGTCTTTTATGTTGTTAGGTTTTTTTTATCGAGAAAAAAGATTTAAAACGTATGGGTGTTTAAACAATTGGAACGTCTTATTTAAAGAAAACTTTATTAAGAAAGAAGGCATTTTCGGCATTAAAAACAGACTTTTCTGGTTTGCAACTGTAACTTAAGAAAGGGCAATATGGTTCTGAAAATATTTTACTGTAATCCTGCAGTATTAAGATCACTGGATCCTTTATACAACGGTCTTTAGCACCGAGTACAGGGGACGCATACTATTTCCAATATTATTTCATGGTACCTTTGTTTTTACAGTCAATGGTATTTTGTGATTGATATATATTTCAGTGGCAAACCCCGGAATTTTAAAAAAGGGGTAAGATACTCAGGGATGGCAGCAAAAACAAACCCAGAAAAATGCAATACAACTATTCTATTAAAAGAGGCATGGGCAGGGCAAACCTCTCCCATTAAAACAAAAATATATTAACAAAATATAAAAACACACACGTAATCCGCCCCTATACTATTTCCCATTGACAATTACATTTGAATTAAATATATATAATAAACAATGAAATAAATAATTCATCAGCTTTGTTCTAGTGGAAAGAAAGCTATAGCGCTGCTTTATTGCTGTGCGACAAAGTCTTCATCATGTTCATAGTAGTAGTAGCATTCGACCATTGTTCTTGTTTTCCATATCTACGACCGACACGATAAAACTGATTACCATCAATACAAATAGTAAATGAAAAAAATGAATGAATTTTAAGTTAGATAAAACACATATACCCGCTTAACACAGTATGTGTACGTACTTCTCAATCCAACATATCTGTTTACATAAAGATTATTTACATCACACATATTTCCTGCATGGAATAGACATCGTATGTTTGAATTGAAAAGTAAAATCACAAAAATACTGAACTCCGAGGAAAATTCAAAACGGAAAGTCCCTAATCAAATGGTAAAATCAAAAGCTCAAACACATCAAACGAATGGAAAACAAATGTCATATACATCATGTTTATCCCCGATGTTGTCATGTTAAATCGTGCAAACATGTTTCCATGGGTATCGACATGTTGGATCGATCAAAACATAGTAAACATGTGGTGGTATAATACAGTGAACGTGCATGATCTGAACAGTCTTTACTTGTGCGCAGACATGTTTGATCTTTCCAAGTATACGTACATGTATGGCAATGTCAATGTAATTTATAACAAAAAAGTATAGCAAAAAAAATCGATCTTCAAGGTATATTCAAAAAGGTGGAAGTCCATAAAAACTGACAAAAATCAAATGTCATTGACTAACATAATGAGTAGAAAACAGATGTCATATTCCTTACTTGGTACCGGTATTTTCCTAGGAAAATGCTGGGTTAAACGACATTATACACAACTAAACGATGCTTGTTTAATGAAATCTACGTGTTTATACAGCATTATCAACCGGTTTAAAAAAAAAATAAATTTATATGGATTTGTAAACGTAAATACACTGACATATAACATTTGAAAGACATATGAAGCTTGTTTATTCTCTCGAATAAAACCTGGAACACACTCAAAAAATCAAGTCATAAGATTGAATTTCTTCTCAACATTTCCCTCTCAATACAATAACACGAAATTTTGTAAAGTGTTCGTATCTACGGATAAATAGAATTCATGTATGTATTTCATTTATCATTTGCATCGGTATAAGCATGAACATGGCTTTATTTTGTATGTCTTTGTTAACCAACTGTGATAGTGATGTAACAGAATTATGGTTGAATGAAGGATCTTGATTGCAATAACACAATAATGTATTGAATTAATATGTCAATTAGGGAGATTTCTTTCATTAATGTAATTGATATATACATCCTCGGGCAAAAACCTTTTTCAAGATATAGTAAATTTGTTTTATTGAATGGGGTTTGAAAACATGTGTTTGATAAGTTTTTGGATCATGATTTGAGACAAATTGAGAACTGTATGCACACGCTATTCTGTCTTCGGGGTCACCGACAATTCAAACGACCAAAACTTACTGTAAGGAATCGTAAGGAACGAATGACATTCTTGGCTTTCCAATATTTAGCTTTGAGCGTTCCTGATGAAGATAAATCTAGAAAATCGCTTCAAACGCATGAAATTTATAACGTGCTGTTTTCATTTTTGTAGGCTGTAAATAATCAAAAATGAATTATTCGCTAATGGAGTAGAATCTGTTGGTCATTGACAGTCGATTCTTGTTGAACCCGGTGTGCGGTTGAATTCTTTGTTTAGAGAATAGGGAACACACGGCCTATGGAGCCATTTGATTGCACCCTGGATTATTTTAAGTACCTTGATTTTATTCTTTATTGTACTGTACCGCCACATTTTGATGGTCATGCTTTTATCGATAGACCTATCTTTCAAGATGACAACGCTCGACCTTATCGTACGAGGATTGTTAGATGTTTTTAGAATCTGAGTCAATTGACCCTATACCATAATCAGCTATGTCACCAGATATTTATCCCATCGAAAACGACCAATTAAGGTGATACCCAACACCTTGACTAATATTAATTTGGCTCGTTTAATTTTCATAAAATTTTGACAATGTTTACTTTGACCCTTTGACAAAAATATAAAAATTTCTAAAAATTTGAACCAACCACTTTATCAGAAAAATTTCATTGGTTATATAGCAGTTTGACAAACACTAATTTTGATCCTTGAGAGGCTTAATATTTCCTTAACAATACAACGTAATTAAAACGTTTAGCTGATTTTTACAGAGTTATCTCCCTGTAGTGTTAGGTACCACCTTAATAAGATGGAAACTATATGTTCAGTGTTTAATAAAGTGAGGAATGCCTTTATACAGAAATGGCAGAAGTTCCAATATGTAAAATTAAAACGTCTTGTTCAGGGAATGCGATGACGAGTGATTGTTCTGCAACGGAAACGATATCCAATATTAATGGTGAGGGTTTTAAAGTGCAGGACATGCGTCATTTTTAGATTAAGAAACAATCACATTTTGTTTCTGCATTTACAAATCTTAAAAATGGTGTGCACATTTAAACTTTTTACCGTTACATTTATTTTATTTTTTTCACATGAAATAAAGCTGAGCATACAATTTACCGACTATATTGTTCAGTCAGCCTTGGTTTCATTACTGTTCGAGATTAGGGTTTCCACCGACAATCAATAGACAAAGAACTACATGCTGTTAAATACTTACCTTTTAAATTCTAAAGTAATGCATAACTTACAAACCAGTTGATGCTTAATTTTTATCGGAGTGAAGATATGTTTTGGACCATATGTGTATTTTGACCATACGCGTATGGTTATGATCCTAGGCATATGGTAATGACAATTAGTTGTATGTTATATATACTCATATGGTCCAAACATTTACGTATGGTGTTGGTAACCACGGTAATTAAAACGATGAACGTTGATCAATAACTTTTACTGTAAATTTGCTGAGGTATGATCCTTCAAGTGTCTTCAAGTGTCATGAATAAAGTGTTTCTAAAAATGAAATTTTGACTTATTCAATCATACGGTTATCATTGTTACATGATTAATAAATTACAATGAATTTTACTCACATGTCAGAATAGTACTAATTGCATGTTTTATGGTCATTTTGGCTTATCGATTTACTTTGGACATTTCACCCTCTTTTTCATGTTTTATTTTCATGTTTAAATACTTCAAATAATTTTTAATTATTTATTGTGTTCTCCTATAGCAGTATACGTGTTGTCCTTAAGTATTATGTGGAAAATAAGAAAATATTGGCAGCAATGTTAAGCTACTGTTATAGTTATATCGAATGACTAAAAGCAAAAATGAAAATAAGGACTATTCCCCAGACACTTGTGGTTTCATTTACAGACAAAAAAGTCTACTGACTAGAGACCAAGCCGGGTGTTCCTGTGAACTCATAATTTATTTGAAAAATTCCTATATCGTCTAAATAATAATCCGGACGCGGCTTGTTAAAAACCAAACGAGTATATATCAAATATGGGTCGACCATACGCGTGTGGTCCAGATACTCAGATGTCCGGAACATGTATATCTTTCTTACCCCTTCAACATATCTAGACTGGTTAAGAATGATTGACTTGATTCCAATAAATGTAACTTTTAATACAAATATTTCGTGGTTTAACTATCACTGTCAGTCATATTTTATGCAAACAATTTTTAAACTTCTACATTTTTATTCGATATTTCATAAACGCGGAGACTTTCGATGAACGATTTT